GCCGGGCTGCGAGGGTCGGGCTCAGCCGGTGCCGCGGCTCCGGGGGCTGGTCGGGGCCGCAGCCCGGCCTGGCTCTCGCTCGCTTGAGCATAAGTCATTTCGAGCGGGGGGCGAGGAGCCGCGGCTCCAGGGCTCTGCCGGGTTTGTGTGGATTTCCCTCGTTACTGCCCCGCCGGCCGTGCTGGCAGCAGCAGGCCCGGCGCCCCCAGGTTAAGGGGGAGATCGGCCAGCACTGACCCGCTCCTGCCGGCCATCGCCCTCCAACGACCCGGCCGCGCTAAACTCTGAGTGTCCTCACGGGCCTCGCAAGCGCAGCGGTTTCAGAGCAGTGATCTTTGCATAAGCCCCGCAGAAATGTTGCAGAATTAAAAGCCTCCCGTCGGGGAGGTTGCCCTGGCACGCCTGTGCCACCGAGTCTCCTACCAAAAAAAGGCCAAACGTTAGAAGGTGGCAAAGCCTCGCCCTTGCTGAGGCTTCCAAAGTGAGAAATTACACAAAACGCCTTTAGTGTTGTTGTGCCTTAAGAGGTCCAACGTGACAGGCGCTTCAGCTACGTTATTTGCGCGTGTCTTTGCCGTTGTTGTGGAGCGTTTGCTCCCATCCTGAAGAGCTCTCATGGTGTTCCTCTCCAGATTGCACTTGCCAGTTTCTACGAGGACGGGGGTGACGAGGACATTCTGACTCTTCCCCAGCCGACACCCAGCTCCATATCCAGAGGCACCGCAGCCAGGTGAGGAGGGAGCTTCAGCTCAGCTCGATCTCTTCATCGGCAGCTTGTAAACTTGACAGTGAAAACTACGTAAAAACACGAGCTTTATCTAAAGCATGGACGTGTGTTAATTTTGGGGAGAAATAGCTCTGCGTTTACATCCGCTTCACTTCGTAAGGCTCTCAAAAATTTCTGAAAACCTCAGCATCTAGACATTGCGAGCACAGGCAGGATGGCAGAGCTAATCCAGAGAGCAGTTAGGACAACTTGCCTAATTACTCAGGAAAAGCTTAATTTGTCTTTTTGAGGTTAGAAGACAGTCAGTTGGTGATGCATTTATTTGAGCAAGTTGTAACTCCACGGGGAAGATGTTCTAATTTTGTGTGATGCCTGATCTGATCAAGTTGAGCATTTTACAAAAAGAAGTTAATTTTGTCTTATGGAATCCCTGTGCAGTAGGGAAATACTGTCTGGTTTTATAGAGTTACTGGCTTTATCTTGAAGAAGAAGTGCTTTTGGTTCAGGCTTTGGTGAATAAAGTCCATACTGCCGAAGAACCCTGCTTCAGTTTGGGTCACAGATCACAGAAACCACAGGGGAAGGCGTGGAGCTGGCCTGTCCCGGGGCCTGGCAGAGACCTGTGCTTGTGCAGGTCTGGAGGTGCCTGAGCCTCCCCCCAGTTGTGCCGGTTCTGTCGGGGCGCTGGCGGAGAGGTCCAGGCGCTCGGGTCGTCACGCGGTGACGCCAGTGCTGACCTGTCGCTTCACAGAGTAGTGAATCAGACCCGAAAAGTAGAACGGGGTCAACCTCACTGCTGTGTTCAGGAGCCTTCGCTTGTGTGGTTGAGACGTGTCATGAGACTGACTGACTTCCCCGGCTGACTTTTGCAGTGACCATAGAGTAACATCGTTTAGAGACCTTGTCCATGCGCAGGAGGATGATGATGAAGAGGAGGAGGGACAGCGGTAAGTTTTCAGTTCAAGACTTAAACACCCTGCGTGTTTATCCCTGCCCTTTTGTGGTGGCTTCCCACTTGTGTACGGGTTTTTTCAAACAGCAGATTTAAGTCGGTACGAAATTCCTGTAGTGATAAATCTCAGGTTTGACACGGCAAGGTTGGTCGGTGCAGAGTCTGTGCACGGGCACGTGCTCAGCGTGGCTGTGTAAGCACCAGCGTTCATCGCTGAATTGTGCTGTTGAGAGAAAGCCGGAGGTAGGATGTGGAAGCCCTCGGCTAAATAGAAGAAAGCCCAGATCGTCATTTGTGGCCATCGAGAATGGAAATGTGGGGATAGCACAGGAATCGCTTTTCTTTCTGCTTGGGGTTTTGGGGTGGAGTTTTTTTGGTTGCGGTTTTGGGTTTGGTTTTTTTTTTTTTTCCTGAAGTGCTACTTAAGGGTGATGTAATTGAGTGTGGAGGTGGAAAGAAAAATGTAGGTCCCCTTTCCAATAGGAATATGGTGTCATCTATGATGTCAGCTGTAGGTAGTTAAATACCCTTAAGGTTAACAGGCAAGGTAGATTGAATGCAACTGCTGTAAATTAAGTTGGCTCGGTCTAGGTAGACTGCCTGATCCTCTGCAGACAGGTGTGAGCTTGCTCTGTATTACAAGCCATCTGGAAGCTAATAAACCCAATCTTCAAGAAGTGCTTAATTGCACTTCACCGACTGAGCTCTCATTGCTTCCCATTCAGATCCGTCCTGTCTGTGGTGATCTTTCCGTGTGGCATGAGTGTGTGCTTCTCCTCAAAATACCAGTTAGATGTTGCCCATCTTCTTCCATCTGACTGGTCAGAGACTTGCTGTAAGTCTTGAGCTCAGTAATAGAGCTGGTACCAGCATTTGAAACTGAGCCTTGTCAGTCTGGACTGTTTCTCTTGCTAGGTCAGAGAGACTTATCACTTTATTGCTGTTGATCAGTGAACAGTTTTACAGTGACTGACATAAAAAGAACATCTTTGCAGTACAGGAACTTGTAAGTAGGAGATCCACTGGTAGTAGCTAATGTTTGTAGATCCAAGTTGTACAAAACTGACCCTGAACTCTGAGATAAACCTGCTGGGTCCTGTCACATGCATCTCCTGGAGAAGCAGTGGTCCAGCCTTGCCCAGATGCCTTGTGCTTTCCGTTAGGTTTTATGCCGGCGGCTCAGAGAGGAGTGGACAGCAGATCGTGGGTCCTCCTAGGAAGAAGAGTCCCAACGAGCTGGTGGAGGATCTGTTCAAAGGAGCGAAGGAGCACGGTGCGGTGGCAGTCGATCGGACGGCCAAGAGCGGTGGCGAGACTAGCAAGCCTAAAGTGAGGAGTGATGAGTTGTTCTTCCTTCTGTCCCCTGTTTCAGCTCCCACCCTACTGTGGAGTCCTGGAATTCAAAGGACAAACCAAGTCTGGGCTCCTCTTAGTGCAGCTCCAATTTGTGTGTTGTCACAGTGGTGGGAAAAGCCGCTTCCTTGTGCCATGTTTATTAACTTGTTCAAGCTGGTCGCTGTGCCTGCAGGACGAGATGTTGCTGATGGCACGGAGCCCCCCTGGTCATCCGTGATGGTGGTGGGGAAAGGGCAGCGAGCTGTCTCAAGTTTGTGTCCTTCTGTGACCCCTCTGCCCCTCTCTCTTGCAGCCCTTCGCAGGGGGAGGGTATCGCCTCGGGGCTACTCCAGAGGAGGAGTCTGCTTACGTGGCAGGAGAGCGGAGACAGAACTCCGCTCAGGATGTGAGTATCTCTCCGTTGGGTTCTGTACCGGTCACCCAGGGAGTTTCTCTGCTATAGCTACACAGCTTGCAAGCCTGGGGAGTTAGAAAGCTTGAGAGAAATTCAAGAGGATAGAAATAGGGTAAATCCTGCTTTCTGTGGGATTTCCGATTGGAAAATAATAGATGCTGGGGTCTTGGGTAAGCAGTTTTTTGATGAACTTTTAATTAAGAATCTGACTGTTCCTTAGAAGGTCTGATTGTGAAAATTAGTGTGCAAAGAGCATTTGGCAATTAACTCTTCTATATCCACTGAAGAGATGTGGCGCTAAGAGCATCAGTGCAAGATTCTCTCGTGCTTGGTTTGTGACCAAATACCCATCTAGGCTGCAGTGGGAGCTTGGTTTTGTCTCCCTGCCTAGCAGAGCCTTGGCTTTCCAACCATGTTTATCAAATGGAGTCTGTGGTGCCACCTGCTAGGAATTGCTGCACGAGCATTACAGAGCCAGTGCTTTGGGTTTTTCCCTAAACGCAGAGGAACCTGGCTGGAGTGGTTTCTGCTCTTTCAAATCCCTCTGACAGTTTCACTTTGCAGTTATTGTTCTTCCTGAGATGCCTCGCTGAGGCTGATTGTTGTTTGGGGGCTGCTGCAGGTGCACGTCGTACTGAAGCTCTGGAAGAGTGGATTCAGCCTGGACAGCGGAGAGCTGAGGAGCTACCAGGATCCGTCCAATGCCCAGTTTCTTGATGACATCCGCAGAGGGTATGTGGCGAGAGGGGAGGGAAAGAGTAGCAGTTTTCTGAAACAGGCATTTGTGGAATCCAGGATGCTGAGTCAAAAAAACCCCCCACAAACATTCCACCTGAGCTTTCTTCTAAGAGCTAGATTCTTAATATGGGAACTGCGGGAGGATGGACTCGTTTGGATAATGGGAAGTGGGTTTGGTTTGTCTGGAGTCTTGGGAGTTTGATGTGAGCAAACAGACTTTCATGTTTGGGCTGAGAATTTCTGGTGCCTCGTGTCAGTCCAGGTGAGGGCCAGGGAAAAGTAACCGATAATTTGTGTCTGTCAGTGGGGAGGTGTGTGTCTGCCCTGTTAACGGAGCAAGGGCTCACTGCCATTCCTGAAATTCCAGAGGTCTGTGGCTGGTACTTTTTCTCTGCACTTCCCTGACTTGCTTCTTCAGGCCCTAGGACACTCTCTTTGCAGGGAAGTCCCGGCAGAGCTGCGCAGGTTAGCGCGGGGCGGGCAGGTGAACCTGGATATGGAGGATCACCGCGACGAGGAGTACGTGAAGCCTAAAAGTGTTTTCAAAGCTTTTACTGGAGAAGGACAGAAGCTGGGCAGGTGAGAAGATGGCAGCGCTGGTTTGCTGTGCGTGTGACGCGAGAGAGTCGCTCGAGAATTTTGCTGGGTTGAGATTTTTGATGAATCTCCCTGCAGAAAAGGCACTTAGTGCCTGTAGGAGAGGAAGCGAGGCTGGTGTGTGAGCAGTGAGATGGCTCGGCCTTCCCGTGGCACCACCACCATATGTCACCTGGAAGCAGCCTTTCCAAGTAACGCTGTTCCTGGGGCTGCGTGAAGACCCGTGGTGTGGTGCTCCGAAGGGAGGTGGTAGAGATGAACTTCTAGAGAAGTTCCTGCTGATTAGCTGACTCCTAAATTCTCACTTCACACTTGCATTGGTGTCCTTGACTGGGAGCCCTGGTGGTTGGGCCTGGCGGGTGACCAGCTCCCTGCCTGCCTCCCCGCACGCTGCGGCCAGGCGAGATGTTCGGTTTCTGACAGCTGCCTTTGTGTCTCCCTGCTCTCAGCACTGCGCCCCAGGTGATGGGCACCAGCTCGCCAGCCCAGCAAGCAGAGAACGAAGCCAAAGCCAGTTCTGCCATCGCTATTGATGAGTCGGAGCCTGTCACCAACATCCAGATCCGGCTCGCTGACGGGGGGCGCCTGGTCCAGAAGTTTAACCACAATCACAGGTACAAACACCGCGGGGTTACTCGCTGGGAACGACACTGCAGACTGTGCACAGATGGAGCAGGTGCTAAAATCCTGGCTAGCCTAAAGAGAGCTCTGGGCATCTTTCTGTATAGGTGAAGAGGAATAAAATTATTGTGGGGTTTGAAGGCAGTCGTTAACTGTTGGAAGGATAGGATTTCCTTTCCGAATAGTGATGGGTTATAGCCAGTGATACTGCACCTGGGAACTTCGCAGAAATTTCCTTTATGTCACCTATAAAAATCTGAATTTCTGCTAAGGGCTTTAGAAACTGTCAGATAATTAGGAATTTGTTCAGTTATTCTGCCTCCTCAGTTCAGACTTCTCTAGTGGGCTGTTCCCTGTGCTGAGTGGAGCACCGAGGGCTGCTCCTCCAGCAGGTCAGCTCTGTTGTTGAGCAAAGCTGGCTTATACACCCCGCTGCTTTCTTAGACTGCTCTCCTGGAGTCCTCCTCACCTGCCTGATCTCAGAGAGTGGCCATTTGTTCATAGGCATTCCTCCAGTTTCTGTAAGAGTTACAAAAAAGTTACAAGAACCTTCTTCTACAGTCAGGCTCAGGAATTAGATCCAGTGTCGCTGTTGCGGCTGCTCATGGGAGTTGAGATCATCTGGGTTACTCTGTGTGTGGTGAGCTCAGTCACTTCGAGCGGCTCGTGTCCAGCAGTTTGTTAATCTATTCACTGAAGGGTTCAGAAGCTTTCGCTATCAAACAGTCGCCTGAGCACACAGACGTTCCCGCTGGGCGCTGTAAAAGAACACTGAGCTGTGAGGCTTTGGCCTGCAGAGCAGCTTGTGTTCGTTCACTAAACGGGAGCTGACGGAGGAGTAGCTAAAACCAAAATTACCTGGCTGTGGCCTCTGCTGTTCGCTGAAAACCAGGCGCAGCGACTGCGGGGTTGCGTGTTCTGGAGAGGGTGAATTTGGGCTGTTCCGTGCGCTCTTACAGGATGTTCAGTAACGGGATCACCCGTGTGTGTTTGATCCCTTTGGACAGGATCCGTGACATCCGGCTCTTCATCGTAGACGCCCGGCCAGCCATGGCTGCCACCAGCTTCGTCCTCATGACCACCTTCCCAAACAAAGAGCTGACGGACGAGAACCAGACCCTGAAGGAAGCCAACCTGCTCAACGCTGTCATTGTCCAGCGATTGACATAAAGGAACCCCCCTCCGGGCAGGCGCCTCCTGCGCGCGCACGCGTCGTCCCGTCCCATGCGTGCACCCACGCCGGGCACCACGGGCTCGTATCTACTCGTAGCTCTGGGTTCTTAGGTCTTGGTTGGACTTTTTTTCTCTTTAGTTGCATTTCCCATGGGTTGGGGTTTTTTTTTGTGTTTTGTTTTTTTTTTTTTTTGTGATGATGATCAGTGGACTTTAAAATAAATAAACGAAATGAATCCGTTTTGAAAGGAGCCGCAGCCTATTGTGCCACGAATTCTCCCACGAGAGTTCGGTTACCTTGTGGGTTGTGTTACTCTGCAGAGGGGAGGAAGGTAAAAAGGGAAGGGAGCTCCCAGGGAGCAATTTTCACTTGTGCCAGTTGGCTTCTCATCGCAATCTTTTTGCTCTTCCCTCTCCTCCGGGGACTGCTGCAAAGTACTCCCTTTATTTTCGCACATTAAATACAAACTGTACGAGAGTGGGGGATCTGATCCGCAGGATAATGGTTACGCTGCTGTAAAAGCATTGGGGGGGGGGG